GATCGCCTCCTTTTTCTTTTTATGATCAACCACCGTCCACCCCTCATAGTATAAGCTAGGGGTTGGGGTTATCTTTTCAGAGGTTGGGCATTTTTCTTTTATCACAGAGTCGTTCAAAAAAATGTCAGTGTCAATCATCAGGTGAATCCTAGAATGAAAGGGATTCTTCACCACACGCCACACCTTGACACGAACAAAATCCATTGGGCCCACCTTCAACAAATTCCAATCAACCTCCCAGTAAACCCCACACATATTAGCCAGTTTTTGGATGATACAAGTTTCTAGGCATGTAGTGGGATACCCCAAAACCGTACCCAAACACATTCCTTTTCAGCAAACGAGCCATGAATTGATGGCCTCCAAACATCTAGAGACAGAAGTTTACCTTGGATCCTAGTGAATCTAGAGAGAGAGAGGACAAAATTAACTTCATCCACAGATTTAAGAAAGAATAACACTTTGTTGTCTCCCAGCGATTGAACTTCACACTGATAAGAGAGATCCCATGCCCTTTTTGCCCAATCTCCCAAAGTAAAAACATCATTTGATGGTGGAGAGAATGAGCCCACCACCACTGCACCAATTCTACACCTAGTATCTTCCACAAAGTTACTGTCTACAAACAACGATGGCACAAGAACTACCATATCTCACGATCGTCTCCTATCTCCCGCAAATAGCTATCTCTCTCCCTGTATTTAGATTTTTTTAGAGAGAATAATACAAGAGAAATGAATGGGAAATTAATAACATGGAAAGTGAGAGCGTAAATCCATTAAACTCTTTCTCTCCATCAAAAAACCCCTCCATTAAAGAACCTTGAGCTTATCTCTGAATCTCCCCTCTTCTCCCTTTTCACCTAAACTCCCATGCAACTCTCTCTCCCTCTATCAAAATGGAACCTTAGATCTACTGCTGCAAGTGAACCAAGAAACAACTCATCTATCTACAATAAAAAAGCACATACCCTACCGTTGTCCTAGTGGCAGACCCCTTTCAATCTAGAGGCTACCATGTTTACTTTCCAAATTTGAAGGTTTATACGCTGAAGGCTCGTTGCAGTGCTCCGGAGGCCGTGCATCAATCACTGTTGCTGAGAGATATGAGCCAAGATGCTCTAAGGTTTTCTCTTTTTCTCAAAGATGCTCTAGGCCTTATTTATGACTCTCTTTCAAGAAAGCCATGTGCAATCTCTCACGGTCAAAATATTTTTCAATCTTTACCAAAATGATAGAAAAAAAAAGAAAAAATACTACAAATAGATTTCTTATTTTTTGTGATTTTTATATTTTTAAAATTTTGTTTAATGTCCTTGAGTAGCTTCTCGATCACATGAACAAAAAAAAGGTCACTTCTTTGCTCTCTAAAGAAATGAGCCAGCAGTAGTCATAAAATAATGAAATAAAATTTGTTTTTTTTCATTGTTTGCCATAATATTTAATAAAACTGTGGATAAAACCCACTGACCAAGTACTTAATTTATAATTGGCCCCATGCATACATACTAGTTTTTTCTTTTTCTGTTGTTATAATGCATGTTGTGCTTTCATGAAATCAAACAAAATATGTTCATTTTTATGTCGTATAATATTTATCGACATCAATGGAATTTGCCCATGAATGCATGCTTTTTTTAAAAAAAATTATTATTGTCACACATGTTGCACTTCCATGAAATCGAATAACGTATGTTCATTGTTATGTAGTGCAATATTATTTGTGATAATAACTGTTTTGATCTATAGTCCAAAAATCTTAAAAGATTGTATTAATGTAGAAAATCACTATTATGAGAACTATGTTTATATTCATGTAAATACCTGGCAAAATTATGTTAAGCTTCAAGCATACTTGTTGCGTACATTCAACATATGTTCAAAATTTGTGATGATTTATGTAATAGGAAATAGATCATAACTCTACAAGTCACTCATATCTTATTTGTTGTATGATTTACTGAAATAGTGTTTGATACAATTCAAAATTTGTGGGGACTATGTAATAACATGAAATGGGTTAACAAAGCTCAACATAGTGATGCACATTAACACTACGTATTTATATAAATAATAGTCATTATGTTCTACGTGCAACACATGTAATCCAACTAGTATATATATACCCATGATTTTCTCCCCGTTCTAGCCCATTTACTTAGATACCCCACGCATGCAAGGCCTCATATGGACTGTCCAAACACATTTAGGTTACGTTTGGTACAAGTGAAATAGTTTTCTTGTAGTAAATTAATTTCTTAGGAAATAGATTTGTTAGAATTAGATTTCATATTTATTTTTTTTCTCATGTTTGGTGATAATGTCATATTTCATATGAAATTGTTTTCTTTCGTTTGGTAAACTATTTGGAAATCTACCATCCTGGAATTTGGAATATAAGCTATTTTTAACTTTTAATTGTTATTATATATATAATTGAGAAGGCACTGATAATTAACTAATGAATACGATCTATTAAAAAGGGTGTGGTTTTCATAAGGTTGCAATCCATTTAAGGCGCACCTTCAAATTTTATCATAACATATCATTTTGATGTAAAATATTCTTAAGATTATCTCAAAATCTATTTTCAATTCTAATTATAAAATTTTAAACTCAAAAAATGATTAAAATCAAGTAGATTTATAAACGTGTCAAAATCTTGAAATGGATGGTACAGATAATGTGTTATAAGATGCACTATTTCTAGGACTCAAAATCCTTTTTTTTCATAATCATATATCTGATGTCAAGACGATCAATTAGAGGGCTTTTCAAAATTTAAAGAACTTTTACAGATGGATTTTTGGGGTGCATCCATAATTCTACATTTTAAGGTTGCAGCCTTATATACACTTTTCCCTATTAAAAATTACCCATTATAAGATGACTACTAGAAATCCAATCATGCAAAGAATCCAATCACTCTCTCTCTAAAACTCATTGTCTCTTTTTCTCTATCTAAAAACTTATTCATTATCTTTTTTTCTTTTTAAAAACCCATTCCCTCTCTAAAAATCCAATATCTCTTTCTCTTTCTAAAAACTTATTATCTTATTATCTCTCTAAAAACCTATTCTCTATCTCTCTATCTACAAATCCAATATCTCTTTCTCTCTCTCTAAAAACTCATTCTCTCTCTAGAAATCCAATATATCTTTCTCTCTATAGAAACCCAGTATCTCTTTCTCTCTTTGAATACTCATTCTCTCTCTAAAAATCCAACATCTCTCTCTGAAAACCAATTCTCTCTTTCCCTCTCTAAAACCAAGTCTCTTTCTAGAAACCCAATATCTCTTCCTCTTTCTAAAAAAGCCATTCTCTTTTTCTTTCTAAAAACCTATTCTCTATAAAATCCCAATCTCTTTCTCTCTTTAAAACCCGGTTGTCTGTCACTCTAGAAACTCAATCACTTTCTCTAAAAACCTATTCTCTTGCTCTAGAAATCCAGTCTCTCATTCTCTCTCTAAGAATCCATTATCCTTCTAAAAATACAATATCTTTTTTTCTATCTAAAAACCTATTTTCTCCCTAGAAACTCGATCTCTCTCTTTAAAAACTCATTCTCTCTCTAGAAACCCAATATCTATTTCTTTTACTAAGAACCCATTATCTCTTTCTCTCTAAAAATCCACTCTCTCTAATTACCCAATTTCTCTTTCTATCTCTCAAAACCCATCCTCTCTATCTAGAAACCCAATCTCTCTCTTTATAAACTCATTCTCTCTAAAAACCCAATCTAACTTTTTCTCTCTTAAAAACGTATATCTCTTTCTCTCTGAAGACACATTCACTCACTCTCTAAAAACCCAATTTCTCTTTCTAAAAATCCATTCTCTTTCTCTCGAAAAACCCATTTTCTTTCTCTAAACCCAATCTCTCTCTCTAAAAAACCCATTTTTCTCTAAAAATTCAATTTCTCTCTCTCTAAAAACTCATATTGTCTATTTAAAAACCCGATCTCTCTCTCTAAAAATTCAATCTCTCTCGAAAAACCCACTTTCCCTAGAAACCCACTCTCTCTTTTTAAAAAAAACTCATTCTCTAAAAACCCGATCTCTCTTTCTCTCTTAAAAACCCATTGTCTCTAAAACTCCAATCTCTTTCTCTTTCTAAAAACATTCTCTCTAAAAATCTGACCTCTCTAAAAGTCCACCATCTAGAAATCCAATTTCTCTTGCTCTCTCTTAACTTATTCTCTGTGGAAACCCAATCTCTCTCTCCCTAAAAATTCATTCTCTAAAAACTTTACCTTTCGCCTTCTAAAAACACATTCTTTCTAGAAACCTAATCTCTCTTACTCTATCTAAAACCTATTCTCTCTCTAAAAATCTAATTTCTTTTACTCTCTCTAAAAATCTAATCTATTTTTCTTTCTAAAAACCCAATCACTCTCTCTTTAGAAACTTAATCTTTCTTTCTCGCTCTAAAAATCCAAACTCTATTTATCTATAGAAACGCAAGCTCTCTCTCTAAAAATCAATCTTTTTTTGTCTAAAAATACATTCTCCCTAGAAATCCAACTCTCTCTCTCTCTAAAAATCCAATCTCTCTTTCTCTATAGGCCCAATATTTTTTAAATTTTCTAAAATAAAATTTACTATCTTATATTTTCTTAATGGGCCACAGGCCAGGCTTTAATATTATATATTCGGATGGGGCAGACTTTTCGGGTACATTTTTTGGCCGGGCCTTATAGGGCCAAGCCAAAGTAATTTTAGGCTTTACTGGGCTTTGGTCCAGCCCGGTCGGATTGCAGCCCCCCACCCCCCATTATTTTCATAGAAATTGGAATCATACATACATAAGTATGATTCCAATTTCTTAGATTTTCGATATTTTTTATGGAAATTAATTTCCAAGGTAAAAATATTTCTACTTCTATTACAAACCAAATGTGAGAAATTAGTTATTTTCTAATAAAATCATTTCTAAGAAATCATTTTCATGCAAACCAAACGTGCCCTTAAATAAGCCTCTCATGGAAAAGGAATACATGCATCCTTCAAATCCAAGCTCATTTCAGTTGCATTGCAAGCACGTCAAAAGAATCGGAATTATACACAGTCCAGCATTCAATGTAAACCTTATATACAGTCTAAATCAATCAAAATGATATTTTTGTGATATTTAAATAAAAGGTCAAGCTAATTCCGGAATTAATACACGTTCATATTTTTATAAATCAAATATTCACAGGCCACAAGAAACTCAACGCTTCTCATTTTGCATTCTTGTACATCTCATCGATAACACCCTGAGGAAAGGAAGAAACATTCAATACTCGATAAGTGCAAACAAAAAATACCTAGAATTTTCATACATGAAAAAAAAAAAAAAAGATTAACTACAATAATAACTACTACGAATTTCAGCTTGGAGTTGGTTTAAGTTGTTGGCAAGTGCAATACTATATGGCAAGTTCACCACTGAACTACCAGGATAAAAGAAATGATTAGAAGATGAAGCTAATTTGAAGGTTCAAGGCACCATTTCATAAATGGTTCACGGATAAATCACAAAACATAAAATGACATTGAGAGCTAGTAGTTCTAGAAAGTCAGAATCTCTGATTTCACAAAAGTGAGTGTTCACAAAGAGAAATTCAGGACGACTTTTTTTTCTTATTGCTCTTACAGCATTGTCAGAATATCAGAGAGAACCCACAAATTGGGCCTGATAAATGAGTGTTCCTTGGTTTTGATCTAAAAGGTAAACATCTATTCACAATTTAATAATACTAAATGAGATAGGAAATAAAATTATTATAAAATGTAGAGATCAATGGCAATAGTGTTATACAATAGGAAGCATTTGGCTTTAGCAAGGTGAAGAAAAATAACTAAGGATCAGTCTGTAATTTGCAGGATTTAACTAGCATATATACACCCATACTGATTTTTTCAACCTTTTTTTTATTTTTAGGGGTAGTTGCCCCTATTATAAGAGATTGTCTATACACCCATATCGATTTTTTCAACTTTTGTTTTTTTAGGGGTCGTTGCCCCTGTTATAAGGGATTGCATACTATGAGACAATTTACCATTCTTACAAAGAGGTCACAATTACTCCTAGCCATTAGATATCAAATTGGATGGATTGGAGTGTGTCACAAACTTTGAGAATTTATTTTTGGGGAACTGAATCTAGTCAACGATACGTTCAGAATCACTTAATTTGAAATTTGACGGACAAGAGTGATTGTGACCTCCTTCTGCTAAAAGTAAATGGTCTCTTTATATACTTATCCATATTAAAATGGGTTAGATATTTTCTTTTGAATGTTCATTCTATTTTAAAACAATGGCATATCTATATCGCATGTATAGGAAAAATGTTTTTTAATATAATGCATACAACATGATTTTTAGAGGTGTAGAAGTGTTGCTTGTAATTTTGAAACCCAAAAATCTGCCTCTACACCATCAGCTCAAAATATTTTAGAACAATTACGAATAATTGACAAACACATGTATGCTGATCAACACCCACGTGAACACAGATCTTATCACCAAATTGCCAATGAAAAAGTAAGGAGCATGTCTAACCTGGTAGTACTTGAGCAACTGAGGTCGCTTCTTCTTGTATGTTGGGGTAAGCAAGTCCCGTTCCATGTCAAAAGGAACAGGATCAAGGTGAATTGCTTTCAGATACTCAAAACCTTTCAACTGCCAACAAAAGTAAAGGAAGAGCTCATTCCAGGTACAGAGGACCTTGGTCATAGAAGCCATGAGAAGTAAATAAAGGAAAACACACATATATTTGCAGCATGGTGTACTTCTTTATAATACCTTTTTAGCTTTAGCTATCTGATATAGCTGCTCAAGTATGTGCTCTTTTGCTTTTGGGTTCTGACAAAGAGCTGTAAAATCTCCACTTTGGCCATTAGCTTCGGCCCACTGCTCAAGTGCAACTTGGTTGGGATTCACTATGGCCACGAGAAACGACTCAAAGCTATTTCCATAAACCCAGATCTGAGAAAAAATGTGTAAATGCCTTGTGATGAACATGTTCATGGTTTATTTTGTAATTAATATAGTTTAAATAATGCATATTAAAGAAATGCATAAAGAAACTTACAGTAATATGATAATTACAAAGGTCTAAATTATCAATGCAGGTGCACAGCTTGAGAAAATATGTGATTATTTTTGTATTTTGCTATTCATGCTTTGTAAATATATAACACATGCAAGCTTATTGCTGTTATCTTCATCCATATGGGATATTTAACTACCCAAAAAGATAAGGTATATTGTCCTCTTTTTACCCAATAATGTATTATAAACATATTGAGAGAAAAAAAGAGTGCATATTGATCAGACAAGCACCAAGGATCTTTGGGATGTTTCCATGCAATAAGCGGCCAAACGAATAAACAGCGACATTAAGATTCTCATATGCATCCGCTTGGTTTTCCTGGGACCAAGTATAGAAAATAACCTATTCACTTCTTAAGTTTAACCCAAATTCAAAGTGACCTAGTGATCAAGGTGTCCCAGCCCTATGAGTAAAAAGTTTGTTCTCAATGGTGGGCACTAACCTTATCACATGCAAATCTGAGACACCTCAACCACCAAGTCACTCCAGGCAGGTTTGCGTTAAACTTAAAAAAGAGATAGAGAAGGGGTATACCTATATTGGATCTGCCTCGTGAACAAGGAATTTTGGGGAATTAGAGAAGCAGGGACAAGCAAAACTAGGTTTTAGAGCACATATATAATTACCTCCCCTTTAAACCTAGAAGCTAGGCCCTGATCTCAATTTTAAATCCATATGCAACTGCCTATAAAACTAGAAAGATACACTATATGAATCAAAATGTGAGATTTCTATTAATATGATGTTTCAAACAAAGAAAGCAAGCAAAGATAGCAAGGAAGCAAACTGATGCTAAGAACCAAGGAGGGAAGAAAGTGCATAGCTGGGAAGTTAGGTGCCTCGCAGCAATGCAGAACCGAATCAGACTCTGAAGCAAATTGTTAAGGCTCACTTACTATGCTAAAAGTAAGCCTCAGATCTCGGCAACTGAGTGTAAAGGGCTTGAGCTCAGATTGGTTTAGACCAGCATACATTCTATTGACCCAGTATCTAGAGGCTGTGGAGAGTTTCTAGAAGAAACTTAGGGTTTCTTGAAGATGATTTAGGGAATTTGGAAAGGCTTTGGCATGTTGGAGTGCTTCGGAATTCATTGAATCTTCATGAGCAAAGAGGATGTTTCCTTATAAATTTTGGTAGTTTCTTAATGTAAGGGTGCAAAGTTTCCCTTAAAATGCAACAAATGTGGGGAAGAAGTTTTGAAGATGCTTTGTTGGGTTTCTAGAAGATTTGGGTGGAGTTTGGTGATCTAGGGGTATGGTGAGAGCCATTCCATGATGTTCCTGCTCCACATGGAGTAGTGCTCTAGGGACTGCAAAGTCATTTTGTAGGTCGTTTAGTAACTTTGGCATATCTTTCCAACCATGAGTCAGCCTGGCTTCTTCTTCGACTGTTGAAGGCAAAGAGGATTTCCTTTACTGCAGATACTTTTGGGTCAAGTTTAAACGTGCAGTAGAGTCGATCAAAATGTGGGTGTCTGCATCTTCCTTATCGCAAGTGTCTTGGATTCTTATTATCAACTGTGGATCTTTTTTATTTAATTTATTGTTGGGTGACGGATCTTCAAATCAAGGAGATTGCTAGAAGGCATCAATTTGGATACATCTACAATGAGGATGGAACATACTTTGCTATGATCAACTTCTGTTTAGCAGAAGAAAAATGATGAAGCAATAGCTTGGCATCATCACAATGGCGACCACATAATTTTTTCTCTTAAACTGCTGTATAGCTTGCAGTGTTTATGGCAAAGTTGACAGTGTCTAACAACTTTCTTTCAAGTCATCTCCCCTCTGGGGCTTCCAGTATTGGAGTATAGGACAGCCAGCAAGTCCAAGGAAAACACATTTCCACCAAGGTTTCATCTAAACCGAGATCATTCCATAGGCAAAGACAGCTACACATATAGGTTTAAAATTGTCAAAAGAGAAGTTGCCCCAGGGCATGCACATAACCATCTAATATAAAAAAACTCAAAACCAAGCATTAAGCGATTTTTCCTTTCATCTTTATTTTTTATTTTTTTTCATATTACACAAAGTTATACACCAAGGAGTAAACCAATTTTTCGTTTCACATTTACATCAGTCATTGACAAATTAGACAACACAACAGGATGTATTAGTGCACCTATGATCCAGATATAAGAGCAGCAACATACCGAGTCAATGTCTGAGCAAAGACCATAGATATTTTCCAGGTTTTCAACTGCAACATATTCACCTTGGGATAGTTTGAAAATGTTCTTTTTCCTGTCAATGATTTTCAAGCACCCATCTGGCTGCCATTCACCAATATCTCCTGTATGCAATATAACTTCCAATTCAATGAATTCTATGTTGAAACATGAAACACCTTTTTCTTCAGAAAATGACCATGACAGCATTAATTTTGAAGTACTACAAACAAGATACCAGTTGCAAACGTGTAAGGCATGTCAGTGGTCTAATAAAATTATAGAATTGCTGGGGTAAAAGACTAAAATAAACTTCGCTGTTGAAAATCAGTCCTCTGTGAGGAGAGGGTGGTGTCAGGTTTTAGTTGCTCCAACCAAAAATATTGCTGGATTTTAAAAGGTTATTATGGTTGCTTCTGGATTTTACTTGCCAAATTTTCCACCAGTGATATCAAATGGTAAACTTCGATATGAACACTTGCATGGACAAACCTGTGTGAAACCATCCATCAATCATAACCTCCCTAGTCAGATCTTCACGTTTGTAGTATCCAGAAAACAGGGTTTTCCCCCTTACACAGACTTCCCCACGAGGTGTGCTTGCAAGAGCATCATAATTCATTTCAGGAACAGACTCCAAGCACACGTCCACATTTGGTACTGGTGGTCCAACTGTCCCAAGCATAGAGAGCTCATTTGGTAGCGAGACAAAAGTACCGGCACAAGTTTCAGTCAGACCTGGGACAACAGTAAATTGTATTAGCGCTAGCTCCTAAAACTCAGATGGAATCTTATTCTAGATAAAATCAGTTACAACGAGCCCTCCGGAAGAAATTATAGTTGCATTGCATATTTTATAACAAAGGAAGAAATCTTTTAAAAACCTGCAAACTAAAGTCAACCACCAGAGGATTATCTCATTACACTGTCAGACTTTTCTTATTAACCAATAGAAGCCATCAACAATCTGAAGAAGTTGCAGTTGAAAAAGAAAAATCTGATGGGGTTGAAAAAAATCTCATTACACTGTCAAACTTTGCTTGTGGTAAAGTTTCTTCACATATGTGACGTGTGATCGTATTTGGGCTGGAACTTTTAAGCCATTTACTCAGCATTTGAGTACAAGTGTAATGAAATCATAAAACTGTAAATTTTTTTTCTTTTTCTTTTTTTAACTTTTTCTTTTGATAATTGAGTCAAATCTGGTATTTGTATTGGAATATATTGAAATTTAGGTTTGCAGATAATCAGGGCTCCATATTTGTCAACAATCATATAGATATGGATCATCTGGTATTTATAAACCTCTACTAGTTTTTGAGAGAGCATGCATAAGCTTTGAAAGACAGCTTTTGATCTATATGCAAAGGCTTTTGTTGTTTCAGACCCACCGATAGTTCTAATGGATTTTTATTCATTAGCACATAAAATATTTTTAAATGCATGATCCAATATTGAGATTTATCAGATTAGTCCTGTTCTAAGTTCCATTCAGTATAAGAATTTCAGGGATTTCTTTAATTTTTTTGGCAAACTGTGTGTAGGCAGGTCAGATTCTCTTGGTACTTCCAGGCCATTTTTTGAGAATTCAGAATCAGCCCTTCTTAGTGCGATGGGCAACCAGAAGTTGTTTGAAATTCTTGATATGCTGTATCTTCATATTGGCAGCTTTTTTGTGAAGCTATGAAATAAAATTAATGCCTAAAGCTCCAGAAATCTTCATTTTTATCTCTCTCAATTCTCATCAAATTTTAAGGCAATTGTACTCATGTTTCATTATACCTCCTTTACCTTCAACTCAATAGGTGCTGTTTGCAGATCAAAATTGTTCCTTAAAAAAAAAAGCACTGAAACATATTCCTCTCATAACCCAGATTGGAGCCATATAGTTACTTCCAATGAAGAATCTCCCAAGGTTGAATGTGTTTCATCACTGCCACAGGCATTCGGTGTTTAGAATCTTTTTCGCTCTGCACTCCCCTAACAGACACTAGCTACAACTTTCTACTTCAACAAAAGCCAGTGCCCTCCTAGGGAAGAGGGCAGCTAAGTTTGTTAGGATGCCATACCCAGCTCAGTAAGCCCCTGCTACATCATTAAGAACTCATTTGCAGTATATATCCGCTTACAAATATATCTAACATTTATCAAAGATTTGTGTCTAGCAGGTTTTTAATTATTCACAAGAGATACTTATGGGTTCTGTGTTTACGTTAATCAAGCCTAGAGCCCTGTTTAGTAAAAGGGATATATTTGTCCTAATGGAACATCCACAGATGTTATTTAAGTGCACTATGATTCATCATAGGGTATGTCACACGTTAGTGAGATAACATCTACCCGAGCAGCCATCACATCCATCTACCATATAGGCTGGATTTCACACATTAATATGAGGGTGCATTGGCCTTACGTGGGGTTCTTAGATTAGGAAGTGATTGTAAGACGCATGAGGATACATTTCCACTTGATCATTCCGCTTTGATATAAAATATAAACGAAGCTTCAATAAATAAAATTTCTGCACATTGAGAAAGAGAAGTTGAGCACAGAACCTGGTTGGATTTAGAGCAGTTATCATGTTGCACGCATTACCATGCCAATGGGATTGATCAATTTGAGAGTTTTTTCCTGCATGATGAGAGGACTATGTCCCAGTTTTTCTTTCCTTAGAAATCTTTCAAGTATGTTTGCACCCAATCCAATGTTAATACATGACACGATTTCTTAGAAGTACTTTCTGAGTCTTTTCCTTGGTATCATAATAGTTTTAGCTTCATTGGAAGACACTTTATATTAATATAATAGCACTCTGCTGTCGCTATGGTAAAAGGAGAAGCCAGTATGACTCTACAATTACATCATTTCAGAAATTCAAGCAAAGATATCACAAATAGAAATCTCAAAGCGATAAATACCATAGCCTTGTAGAACATGAGCGCAAGTCACCACTCGTAGAAAAGCTTCCACATGGGAGGCAAGGGGAGCTGCTCCAGATAGAATTAGTCGTACACGCCCTCCTAATCCTTGCTTCACCTGCAAGCATTAGAATAATCAAGACAGAGAAAGTATAAATTATCCTAAAAAAAAGGAACAAGCATAAACAAAATAAGAGTAATTTGATACTGCCATCACACCACCTTGTTGAAAACTATCTTATCAAAAATTGGCGCTGCCTGATCATGATTGTATCCCTTCTTCATGTAATTAAATTTGCTGTGATTATTCATAGTAAACATCAGAAACTATGATTAGAAGAACAATAACAGTAACAGAATCTCTAGGCATTGCATACATAATGTACATGCCAAGTTTTCTGAGGCAACACAAGAAAGCAAATCAATTGTGGCAAAAACATGAAAAGCAGAACATGACACTAAGATATGTGTTAGCAACAGAAATAAAAAATTACGACCATGAGAGTTTCCTTATCAGAAAAGGTTTATATCTAACCCCATAAAAGATCAAGGGAAAAGAATCACTGATAAAAAAAGTCCAATATAAAGGAACATTTAACAGATGCCAACAAGAAAATTATGACGAGAAGGAAAAACTCTCGGCAAGAAAAGAATCACTAAGAAAAAAACTCCAATATAAAGGAACATTCAACAGATGCCAACAAGAAAATCATGACGAGAAGGATATACGCCAACTCTTCATAGCAATACAAAAGTTACCTTTCTCTCAAAAAAAAAATCATGACACGAAGGAAAAACCCTAATGCTGAGCAATATGGTACTCATATTTTCCTTGCATATCATTCTCTAAAGCAAAGCTGATTAAATTACAAGCTCAAAAATAATATCTTCAGTGGAGAACTCATCAAAAAAAATAAGAAATTTTCAGTTGGGATCTTACTATGTATGTGCAACATCAAACAAAATCTTCTTGAATCTACCCCCGGCAGAAATCTTCTGATTCAAACCTGAAACCCATGCAGAATATCCATAAGCCCAAAGCCCTGAAGATTGAACTATACATATAAAACAGATTTCCAAGCCACAACTGTCCTCTGAAACATGATGTTTTCTACTTAATAAAGTCTGCCTATATATCATCATCACAATAATAATTAGAATTTGCCTATGCTCTTTTTTTACCCGGATGTTAACTGTTTTCATTCAATTAAAAAAATGTGTTTACAAGTATAATGTTCATATACAATGAATTCTATGCATATGAGACTCAGCTGAAAAAAAAAAGTAATTTAGACACAAAGGACTATGATATATGAACTTGACTCCCTAATTCATCACTACATACTCAGCCAAAATATGCTACCAAATGTGAAGGTTTTAATTCAATGGACTCAAAATTTCATAAGGAAATGAACTTTAAGGACTACTATATAATATGCCTATATATTTGTGAATGTGGATGTTTTACCATGTAGACCCAATATTTATACAGTTAAATAAGGTCACAAATACTTTATATCTAAAATACATCTACATCTTTGTTTCACACCTCACCTGTATATATGCGATCCAAGACACGTGGAACAGCACAGAAAATGGTTGGTTTTAGTTCTGCAATGTCCTCGGTCAATAGTTTGACATCCTGCAGATTGTATAACAAGGTCAACTCATTGAAATGATAATTTTGTTAGATGTGAGGAAATGACAGAACAAGCTCTGAGTGCTCACCCCACGCCAAAATCCTATTGAGGCACCTGTTTGAATGAACAGTTCCTCTATAACTCGATCGAATATATGGGCCAGAGGGAGGAAGGACAAATACACGTCTTTGTTACTCAACTGTTACATTTTTCATGAACAATAATCCAGATATATTAAAGACAAAATCCAAGTGCAATATGATTTATATAAACAAAATCCTTAGTTTAGAAGCAAAAGCATAGAATGAAAAATGGAAAATGGTACAAATACTTCAAGTTGCAGCTGAACAACATTACATCTTCATTCATAAAGCGAAGTAGCTGTTCTACACCAGCAATAAGAGTAACAATGCTTTCATTGCTAATCATCACACCCTTGGGATCTCCAGTCGTTCCACTGGTATACATAATTGTACAGATGTCACCTTTCTTTGGTGGACACACATCAAATTGTTTGTCATTTCCCTGCAGGGAAAGGGAATATGTGCAACACAAACCAGAAACATAAGCAAGACCCAAACAAAGAGCCAATAACAATTGGAACATAATGAAACAGTAAGAAATTTCAACTGACATATTATGCACTGTCCATGAGCAACTTTATGTACTATATCACTACAGTTTATGTAGTACATCACAACAGCAGGAAGTAAGATATAAGGAAAGATAATAAGTACCTCAAAACCATATTCAGCTACAAAGTAAAAGCTATCGTAAATTCATGGGGAAATTTGCAAAATGCACCTAAGAGATTAACGATTTAGTATTTTGCCTGCATATTTTCATTTTATTTCAAAGAGCCCATCAAAATATGCATGATCATGAGTTGGAATAGTTGAAAATGGGGAACATAGTAAAAAAAAAAAAAATTGAAACTGTTAACAATATTTGTTAAGTTAGGAGTATTTTGACAAATTTCCCTAAATTCATTTTCATAGTCTTTCAAAGTGTCTAACCATAAAACTAGGGTAGAGGAAAATTCTAGGGAGCGATTGAGTCGAGGGGAGTCCATAGACATCAAAGGCACAACCTCTGGACCTCCAGGAATTTGGAGCATAAAGGTTAAGTAGAGGGAATAGCAGATCGAATTGGGTAAGAGCTTGCATAAACCTAAACAAGACACTTTTCTGGTGAAGGATGTCGATAGGATTTCAATTTTTCCATTTAAAATTGACTTATTTCAATGTGAAAGGAAGATCACAAGAATTTAATGGTTAAAATTAAACATAAGAAATTCTTCTGATATCTGACTCTCCAGTGTTGAGCTCCCCAATCTGTGTATGCAGTGAAATTTGATTCACCGAATTGGTGATGGATGGAGGGATTTCATCTCAACTCCTACACCCCTTCAAGGAAACAATGTTGGAGCCATATCCGTACTTCTAATGATCTGTTCCTTGACATGACACAACAATGCACATCATGGTGGCCTATAATATTATTGAGGTCGACAATTTTATGGGGCCCTCAGTCTTCGGTACATCTCACCATCGAGCAGATTGTAGACTTCTTTACATAGGCTTTGACAAAGAAAAATGGGGCAGAAGCTATTGGCAGACAAACTCTCTCATTTTTATAGATGACCTTGTCTGAGGCAGGTTGCTCACTATTGTGCACGTGTAGCTGATAATGCAATGTAATTAGGAAATTTATTTTAACCACTGTGACAATAGCTATTCAAAATGTCCTGGATGGGATTGTTTTTTCCTCTTACGCGAAATAATAACAACAACAACAACTAAAACAATAGCAATAATAGTAATTTTTGTACAAAAAAAACTTTTTGAATGATAATAATAGTAATACTATACAAGCATTCAAGTCCTAGTTCTTGATTAACAATAACCGGTTTCATCAAAATCCTTACAGTTCGATAATGATCATAATAGAAAATAAAAGTACCATGTTCCTACAAAACTTGTATATTGGATGAGCTGTGGCTCAGATTTTTTGCTAGCAAAACCTCGTTCTTTGGTTGAGTACTACCCACACTGCTTAACTAAATCTCTCATGGTGCTCCATAAGTTATTAGAAACTCCTTGCTTCTCCCACAACAACCACACACACACACACACCCGGGCTTCTTTTTCCCCTGGGGGTTGCCACCCTTCTCCTATAGATGATCCAAGGCCTTTTTATATTGTTTTTCTTTTTGATAATTATATGCCCTTGAGGAACTTAGGGGTGGCCCCAGTAGGAGATAAGATGAGGGAAAGTAGATAGGTGGCTTAAACATGTGCAGCATAGACCTAATCCATAACCGGTTAGGAACTAAAAGGGCGAGGGGAAAGCCCAAAAGAACATGAATGGAAGTAGTGAGAAGAGATATGGTTACTTATAGTCTGACTGAGGGTATAGCCCTTGATAGAGTAGAATGACAAAACATGATTCATGTAGCCGACCCCGAATAGTTGGGATAAGGCTCGAATGAGGATGAGGCTGAGGATGATGTCTTTAAGGAACTATGAACCAACAACCAAAGAACTACACTAAATTTCTTAGTTATTCAAATGAAAAGCCATCCATTGTATTAGCATTAATGCTTGCTTCATGGACACCATAGATTAGAATATAAAAGAAAAAAGTATGTAGGGGCATCACCACAAAATGTATAAAAGTAGCGCCATCTGAACAACAAATGGGTCACCATCCACAGTAAGTGATAAGCTAAATGAAAGAAAATGTTATATTAGAAAACCCTTATGGGTGGCTAGTTATGTAACAATGACACACTCATCATGCATGTTTCAGAGAATCTAGTACGCCAATGCACTAGACATATTTGTTGACTGTAAAACATGCATAGAGACCCAGGAAATCCGTGTCAACATGTGTGTCTAGAGATTTCCATTTTTTGGATTCGCATACATGGGTGTATCTGCCATGTGGACACACAAGGCCATAAGATTGGACAAACAAGACAAGTGTGTCATTTCACAAGACGTGTGTCCATTATGTAAGACATGCAGGGACCCACATGCCATAGACGCATCTTTATTTGGATCACTTTTGTTTTTTTTATCAATTTCATTAGTAGAAAGTCACAAATTAATTTTAAAATAAATATATATAGACACGTATGCATTGTACAGACTTGTAAAACATGTAGTGGACTTGGCAAAATATAGAGGGATGTGCTATATTCTTCACATCCGAGTCAGACATGGATTCCTCTATTTGTGTCCTGTAATACAAGTGGCTAGACTCCACCAACATGTAAGAGGTGTTTCTACACTGCAACTTATAAAACTTCCCACAGACCTTTGGGGAAAGCATTTTCTGATAAATAACTTAAATAGAGGTCAAGAAAGATTTCTTTCAACCTCCAACAGAATGATACACAGATATGAATAAGGTCATGAATACAAATTCCACCCACCACAATGACCAGCTAATCAATCCAAAACAAAAGAAAATAAACAAGATTTTCCCTGCAAGAATCATGTATAATTGTTGGATCAACTCATGGATCAGTTAGCTTCTCACAAGATCTCTAACAAGGATCAAAACTAGCATAAAAAAAACCTCTCTTAGATATAAGAAAGTTATTGTCCAATCAATTGATATGGGAGGGACTGACTTACCAGCTGGATAAATTCATCCCATGAATAGAATCCCACCCCAAAATTTTCAGCTTCCTCTCTTTGTTCAGGCGTAACCTTGCCAAAGCTTACAAGTTCTGTAGTAAAAAGTCAACAATATCACTTTTTGAGAATACTTGCTCAATGAAAAACAGAATTGGATATATCCTCATCAAAAAAAAAAAAAGAATTGGATATAGCATTGAAAACACTTACTCTTCAAGAATTCATTCGTATTTGGAAGAGTTTTCAGTACCTGGAACAGAAAACAGACTTTGGTAGTATATAGATCAAAGCCACAGTTAAATTAATAACAGATTCTTGAAGTCTATAATATTCCACAACAGATGTTAAATAAATATCACCATTTCTAACCCTAGTCCATCATTAGAATACAAATTACTACCACGAGATATTCCATATCCGGTACAGATGTTGCCTATGAGTTTAGGTGCTGGATAAACCTGTTCAATGGGACATCTACATGTACTGTTTCCCTTAAGAGTCCCTCTGTTACCTCATTATGTAAATGCACATCAGGAATGCTAGCTCAAGGTTTACTCAGTGATGGACAAGCAGAGAAGTGAAATGGAAATAGAATTTTGTATATTCTCTAAAATTTTGACAACCATCTAAGTAAAACATGCATATTTACTTTCATTTTTGCCACTCTTATCAGAAAACAAAGTTCAATGATTAAAGAGCAACTGAATTCAAAGATTAACAACTCAGAAACGAAATGGACAGGTGAGATTTGATGCAATAAATCTAAAACACAAGAGACAATACGAACATAAGAAACCAAAGGATATGTAATATGAATATAGCACCCCAAAAGGTTCAGCCCGACACACTCCTAGGACAACACGAAAAGAAGACAGTGCTTAAATTGGACATCATTATATTAAATTTATTGTCGTTTGTTGAAGAGTTAAATTTTGGATTCTTAATTTTATAACAACTAAGTACTCAGTTCTTGGAAAAGCAGACAACCTTCATTGTCAAATATAAAACTAGAAGCAAGGAGGACCTATTTGTTAACTGTCCCATGTTCCTTGTGCTATAGAACTGGAAACTAATGAATAAGGTCAGATTTTTTCAAATTTCTTTTTTTGTGAATAGTAAGAGAGGTCATGCCTGCAATCATGTGCACCCAGTCCCCTTCAACTTCCCAAACCAAATTACCTCCATTAAAATGAACAATGAGACAAGCTCTCATGTCAGATTTTTTTCAAATTTCTTTTTTGGTGAATAATAAGAGAGGTCATAGCCCGCAATCATGTGCACCCTGTCCCATTCAACTTCCCAAACCAAATTACCTCCATTAAAATGAACAATGAGACAAGCTCTCATGATCTAATCATTTGATCCTGCCAAACAAGATCCCCACCACTACTCAGACATTACGTTCCTTCGCAATTCCAAAATATTTCCGGAGCTCAAAATACCAAAAGAGAATACCACTGTGAGCACTGACTTAAACACACAACATAGACAGCACAATGACCCACGAACAAATCCTCTGGTCAAAAACGGATCAGTGGATATGGTCACCAATTGTTCTACTTTTGCCTGCGTCCCCGTATAAGAAAGAATAGTTAGGAAACTGAGGGCAGAGAAAAATCGTAATTACCAAAACCAGGCCACAGCCTATGCCTGCCTTGAGATAACGGGTCATATATGCAAGGGAATATAAATTTCTATAAGAATTACGAAAGCCCTCAAGTGCATCATTCAGGCTTCACAATTCAGCAAATTATCAGTTTATCACCTGTTTGATAGCTCCTCGTGAGCTCAATATGACAACATCGCTAGATATTCACCAGTGCCCAACTGCCTACTGCACCAATCAAAAGCTAGCCGGAAAAATCCCATACAATACACTCTTATTACCTTCAGTAGTCCTGCACGGCTAAACTGTGGCCTTGAGTGCTGTCCCGCATCATCCAGATCCAATTTGTGATCATGACAGGTAACCCAGCTATGATGCATGGATATTTGTAAATGATTAAAGTGCTGTGTGTCATACCTCCTCGACAGTGATACTTATACGAAATACTGCTAGGACACTTCTATGCAGAGAGAGATTACACGGAATTTGCATCCTGGGCAAGTAGAGTGACTGGGGGAGTCCAATTTGATTCGCTGAAGTCTGAGTCGAGCAGTACAAAGGCACCAAAAATGGGAAAAAACAGTAAAAATTATGAAAATCCGAAAATGGGAAAACAAAAAATACCGTATAAACTAAAAAAGTATATAAAATATGGAATACGAAAACCAAATGATGTTATCAGCTTAAAAGAAAAGGAAAACCCAAAGAAAATATAAAAATTATAATTAGTTCTTACAAAATTAATTATAAATCAATTGGAATTAATTAAGTCAACAATAAATCAACTTTAAGGATTTAAATTAAAGAAAAATAACATCCCCAAAATTTCAAGACCAATCCTTCGATCATCACATTCGGTATGAATTGATGCCTCAAATCCTTGTAAAAGCTTCCCATAGAGCCCAATCAAAACCCCCAAACTGCATTTGGATTTCGAGTTTCAGTATAGGAGATCCAAGTTCTTGAAAAATTCAAATGAATAGCAAATCCAAATCTGAAACTTCAAATCCTAATTTTATTGTGTTCTTTGTGAAAAACCAGCCTATGGTTAGATGAAGATCCCTATTATAATTACATGTTTGTGTTTTTTTCTGGAAAGAAAACCTATTGTCAGATGAAGAACCCAAAAATACGCTTTAAGCACAATTTTCGTCTAAAATCAACCAGCAGTTGCAAAGAAATCACAAATTCTCAAAATTGGGGAAAACCTTAGCCAAATCTTAGATTTTTCAAATCTGTCAAATTTATTTATTTTTCTCAAATCTGATCTACGAAGTGGATAAGGCAAAAATCAGTCTACAAACCAACTTTGGACTGGTTTATGAGGTTGAGAATCTACTAAATAAAGAAAATTGGTTTTTTTTTTTTTGTGGGTGGCGGGAAGAGGTTTCCACCTCCCCCCTTTTAAACTGGTTCGTGCATAATACTTGGGTAAGTACTGTAAAAAGTAGTCAAGTACTATAAAACTCGGGCTAGTCAACTCAAGTTTCACAACACCAGGGCAAGTCTCTATAGTACTCACTCGAGTACTTTATCGGGCGTACATGCACCCTGTTCCAGGCTCGGGAAGCCATCCACCTCCGAGTGACTCTAGAGTCTGAGTCGACTCTGTAAAATTTCTTACCCTGCTTGTATGTATAAAATGATACTATTGTAAAATATATCTTATAAATAAAGTATAAAAATATGCACAATATTGGGGTGTGCGTGTTGTGTCTAGTAATCTCTCGAGTACTTTACCGCGTATATATGTGTATCTGGGCTTGGCAAGCTAACAAGCCCGAGTGACTCTCCAGAGTCCATGTCAACTCAGCCAAATTTTCTTAAACTAATATAGTATGAATAAAGTATTACGATATGGTTGTGTGCAGTGTTTTAAAATGCAGTCGCATAGCGCTTCATGTGGCAGCATCATGCACCATGGGCCAGAGGTGCATTGCCTCTAGCTGCATATGCACTTTTTAGGATGCTCCCACATATGCAGCCCATGGCACTATGGGCCTGCATATGCAGCCCATGGCACTATGCGCCTGCATACACTGCCCAGGCTCGTGAGCAAAAATAATGGCCATGAGCATGGGCAGGAAGTTACAAAATAAAGGTTGAGAATCTAAAAAATAAAGAAAATTTGGGGTTTTTTTTTTTTTTTTTAGTGGGTGGGGGAAGACGTTTCCACCTCCCCCCTTTTAATCTGGTTCGTGCATAATACTTGGGTGAGTACTGTAAAAAGTAGTCAAGTACTATAAAACTCGGGCTAGTCAACTCAAGTTTCACAACACCAGGGCAAGTCTCTATAGTACTCACTCGACTACTTTATCGGGCGTACATGCACCCTGTTCCAGGCTCGGGAAGCCATCCACCTCCGAGTGACTCTCTAGAGTCTGAGTCGACTCCGTCAAATTTTCTTACCCTGCTTGTATGTATGAAATGATACTATTGTAAAATATATCTTATAAATAAAGTATAAAAATATGCACAATATTGGGGTGTGTGTGTTGTGTATAGTAATCTCTCGAGTACTTTACCGCGTATATATGTGTATCTGGGCTTGGCAAGCTAACAAGCCCGAGTGACTCTCCAGAGTCCGTGTCAACTCAGCCAAATTTTCTTAAACTATTTGTATGCATATAAAAAATATAGTATGAATAAAGTATTACGATATGGTTGTGTGCAGTGTTTTAAAATGCAGCCGCATAGCGCTATATGTGGCAGCATCATGCACCATGGGCCAGAGGTGCAATGCCTCTAGCTGCATATGCACTTTTTAGGATGCTCCCACATATGCAGCCCATGTCACTATGGGCCTGCATATGCAGCCCATGGCACTATGCGCCTGCATACACTGCCCAGGCTCGTGAGCAAAAATAATGGCCATGAGCATGGGCAGGAAGTTAACCCCCTACAAAGTAAAAAACGGCCATGGTAGTGGCTGTTTCAACATCAAAAAAAGTAAAAAAGGAATTTGGAGACGCCCTAGATCCTCGCATTCAGATGTTAGAGATGCACATGCTCATGGAGACTCCCTAGATGACTTGTCAAATTGAGATTTGAGATTGGGACTTGAGAGCTGATTAGATTATCTTTTGATTTCTATTGTCTTCTATGTTTTGTCTTGACTCTTGAACTCTTTATCGACTTCTAGTGGTTGTATGTATAGTTTGAGTTTGTAACATTAAAGTTTGCAATTGCAATAATGGTTTTTAGATGTTTATGATAATATTATGTCTTTTATAAAGAAGTAACTTTCAAGTTTTTAGTTTCTATTTTCTAATGTCTTCTATTAGGGGTCCAACAGCTGATAATATTGGAGCTAATGAATAAATTAATACACTATTACATAAATGACCTCGAAATTTGTTTCCATGCATTAACCTATTTTTTAAGATATTTTTAGAATTTTTTATATTTATTGGTCACATCGGGGTGATGCGCCCGCATCTAGACCACATTAAGCCGCATCGCCGCGTCAGGGCCCCAACCACATCGGGTCCACATCCTGCATTTTAAAAAACTGGTTGTGTGTGTGTGTATAAATGTGTTGGATGCATGTATTTTTTATATTATATAAGCTATAATAGGTATTTATAGATGCATAAGTTAGGACTTTACTGTATCCTAGATTTTGAGAAATGCCGAGTCCTATAATCATTTTCCATATCCATCTCTACATCCCTATATCTGGTCATCTTAGCATCCAAGATTTTTTTCTATTGCTGACCCATGACCACCTCACTCTCAATGCGGTAACATTCAACAACAAATCATGCCACCACCTGCCCTGACAACTTTTATGAAGTTGATTGCTTTTATACTTGTACTTGACATTTCAAGACCGCAATCCAATATTGAAACTTTAACAATTAAAAGAAGAATGCTGGAGCTCCTCACCTCTAGCAGGGGAAATACCAGTAAACTTGTTGAACATACATTTCAAACCAACAACTATGATTTAAACAAATATCATGGCTTAGATATGCCATACAAAGAGAAGATGAGCATCAAGCCACCTTATCAAGTTCTGCATGTCAGGCACTTTTTGATTATTTTGTAGTACTAAAACAACTCAGTAAAAAAAAAAAGACATAACACCAACATATATAATTAAAACTCTAGTAAGGAATAATTCATTAGGAAAAGCAATTGCCAACATCGTTACCAGGAGCACCCCAACAGGGTGGCGCTCCAGCTCCGGAATCCAACTCCAACGTTCCATAACTGGGATCTTGCTAGGAATGCAATTTTTTTATTCCGGGATCTCGCTCCCATTTTATAGGGTACTCACTCCGATGAACAAAAGGATTTCGACCCCATGGTGCACGTTCATGAAGATTGTAGATCCCGTTCCCACATAAATAAGGTCCTCGAACCTGGAAATTTGGGAACACGATCCCTGTGTATACGGAACTCCATCCTTATCCAGCACGAGATCCCATTTATATGGGAAGGGGTGCAGTGCTTAGTGGGAACATGAATCCACGTGTAATGGGGTTGAGTTCTTAATACAAGTGGAGTTATGTGATGGGATCACAGACCAATCATGCAGGGAATGCGATCCGTCCTTGAATGGAGTTCGATCCTTTCAAAATAGGAACGCGATTCAACTCCAAATGGGTCTCATTCCTATTCCAGATGGGAGCGTGATCCTATTGCATATGGGAACACGATCCCATTGTATATTGATCGCGTCCCCATTTAATAAGGATCTAGATCTTGTTGCATTGGAACTCACTCCGCCTTCATATGGATCTCATTCCGCTACTTTTACCCTCACCGGAACTTGCTCCCCGAAAGCCATAGCTTTGGGCAGCCATCGATCCAACGCTCCCGTTACCGACCCCAGAGCCGTCCCCGCTCCGGCTCCCGGTAACTAAGGTTGCCAACATATAAGAAATATGTAGTTGCTACCACGTAGCCCATAAGTAACTGCAACGTAAGCCCAATCAGAAATTGAACTGACTTGTTCGAAAGTGGAGAAGAAATATTTCTCAAAGAAATAATATACACACTAGAAATCATTAGTATTTCTCGAAGAAACTAAATATATACCAGAAATCATTAAAATAGTCCAAATATTGATCTTCCCATAGCTTGAAGCCATTCAAGATTTGCATGACATGCTTACCGATAAAACACAAGAGCCAGTTTAGTAATGAAAATTCCTTTCTTTTGTTCATACGAATAGCTTGAAGAAGTTCAAGATTTGCATGCAATCATTACCGATAAAATTAAAAGTCAGCTTAGCAATGAAAATCCTGAATCCTTTGTTTTGTTCATATGATATAAGTATGATGAGAAAGTCAGAGATAGAAAATAAGATACACTAGTTCTAACACTTGAAATGAAGTGTTTTGCTCTTCCTCTAAGCTTCATACCCAATATTTACAATGAAGCAGCTTATCCAAATAATAATTTTAACTTTAATATCACCAATAAAAAACAACTTATCCTTGTAATAATGTAATTAGCACATAGACTTCAAGGTAATAGGTGTAACTCATTTATGTAGAGTGAGCATTGTGAGGAGTAATGTTTCAGGCAAAACCTCCCAAAGAAATAAAGATCACATGTATTTTTCTATATGCAAGTGAAAGGCAGATACCTCCACAATCTTTTTCTCTTCGACAAATGCAATCGAAATTTCCGCATGACGAAGAACAAATTCTACTGCATCAGCACCTACAAATGAAAATATTACAAAGTAAATGGAAAGTTTAATAAAATATCTACCAAAAGAAAGCATCATGCAATGGCAGGTATCAATAAAATTCATGTTGGGGTTTGTAGTCTTTAAAGGTTGTGAGAGCATATAAATATGATAAATAATTGTGGATTGTGCACTTCAATGGGAGTGTATGATGGTTGACTGACCTAGGGTTAAGGATGTCACGCCCCAAACCCTTTCCCTTTGGGCATAGGCACTACAGTTGAGGGTTTTTTGGAAGGTCATCCCTTGTTGAGATCAGAGAGATGTCCACGGACGTTGTTAGTCAGCCAGGAGAGCTTTGGTATCTCCTGTGTGCGGATATAAGCTTGTGAGAGCAAGGATGAAGTCCTCAACAAACTAATGTACAATATGTACATATGACAACCACATTCTAGCAAGCAACCCTATAGAGGGATATGTGTACATGTGCATAGAGAGAGTCCCCCTTGTATGCATGTGACTTGCTCTTAGGGGAACTTGTAATCCACATACTAGGATTGTAGTTCCACTATTTATTAGCCAGCATTGATAGGTCAATTATGAGCCCCCTGCCTATGACTGTAGATCATAGGCCTTGTTGGAGTAGTTCGAGAAGATAGTTGTGGATCATGAATAGTGGCACAAGTAGAGTGCCCTAATAGTCACTTTTCTTGACCTATTGGTACCAATCTACTTCCATAGGTATTTCTAAGTTTTTTAGAATTTTTAAGAACTTAAAAAATATCGTTTTCAACTTTATTTATGCTGCTGTGGTTTTTGAGTTTTTTCAAAAAATTTAATGAACAAAAAACCCTACAAGGTTATTTCTTTAGGTTTCTAGTTGGGGGTATCTTCGAAATTTATTCCATATGTAGTGGGACCCGTGCCGGGGGGACTGGTTCGTTGGTTAAAGGCCCAGCCCCCACAAGTGTGGAACCCACAAGGGCCATAGGCCCCACATAGTGGGATGCCCAATGTTTTCCTAGTATTTTAGGAAACTTTAAGAGGAGTCCATGTGTTTTGAAAAAAGATATAGTTAGCTCCAAAAAATCTTGGAAAACCTTTGGGGTAATATTTTGTGAGATATTTTAGGGATCTAGAGTATTTTGACCAAGACTACTTTTGACTTTGAACTCCTACAACCCCTTTGTGAAAGAAAAAGGAATGCTAGATAAATTAGGAGATAATTTTTTAATGGTCAAAACCTAGATATACTAAAAGTGGATATGGCTCAAAGATTCAATTGATGAGGTTCCTAGATTCCTCCCTAAATCATGATAATTTATTTCAAGGATAAATGGCTGTGATATATTTCTCTCTCACCTCATAGATTACCTGGGAATTCTAAGGCCATATTGAATCCTAATTTGATTGGATTAACCTTTGAGGCCTCTATAAGGAGGGGAACCCCACCCCTGCCCCCCCCAAACAAAAAAATTATCTACAAGGCTTTTTTTTCAGACCTCTCTCTCTCTCTCTCTCTCTCTCTCTAGGTGGCACACCACCGCCATGGGGATCTAGGGAAGGCACACACCACCCAATATACAGAGAGAAAGGGTGCACACCCAACCCTAGTCCAGGTTAGACGAGGTGCTACACAGTAGCATGCCCCAAAGTTTAAATGGGTCTTAAGAAACCCTAATAGTAGCTCATGCTCTCAACCCCATAGATTTGTGATGGAGCATTCCAAAAGTGCTTCCCAGTTCAATGGATTCAGTATGACCTAAGGATTAGGTGCATCATCGGTTAGGCGATAGGATATATGGGATGTGCTAAGTCCTAGGGGGTAACCCTATTCAGTAATTCTTCCCAGTTTGTTTATTTATTTTATTTATTGTTCTTTGATATTGTAGCTCATGCTCTCAACCCCATAGATTTGTGATAGGGTATTCCAAAGGTGCTTCCCAATTCAGTGGATTCAGCATGACTAAGGATTAAGTGCATCATCGGTTAGGTGATAGGATATATGGGATGTGCTAAGTCCTAGGGGGTAACCCTAAGCAAAACATTCAATAAGTCTTCCCAGTTTGTTTATTTATTTTATTTATTGTTTTTTGATATTGTAGCTCATGCTCTCAACCGCATAGATTTGTGATAGGGTATTCCAGAGGTGGTTCCCAATTCAGTGGATTCAGCATGACCTAAGGATTAAGTGCATCATCGGTTAGGTGATAGGATATATGGGATGTGCTAAGTCCTAGGGGGTAACCCTAGGCAAAACATTCAGTAAGTCTTCCCATTTTGTTTATTTATTTTCTTTACTGTTCTTTGATTCATTTTTCTTCAAAATTCACAATTTTAAGTTTGAATTTAGTTCTTGAATAAAGTTCTATTTTAACAATAAGATAAAGATTCTAACTTGTAGTAGGTTTATTTATGCACTATAATGTGGCAATTATAAGTAAAAATTTCAGTTATTAATAAAAAAAAAAATAATAATAATAATTTGTACTTTGGAATTATTCATAGCCACACCTTTCATTTCATACTACAACAATTTAACAAAATTGAAACATGGTGACTCCTAGCCATTTTCCTATAAGATGTATCATACTCCCTCAAAGACGATATCATAAAAGTATTCAAGAGAATCCATAACCACCCACAGGGCGGCAGGTTAATACACATTCAGATTACACTGAGTACACATATGGGACTCATATTACATAATATTATGATTTTTACAGAAAAAACCAGCAAATGACACCTCACATAATTTACTATGCAGGCCCATCAGTCGCTCTTATATATGAGCAACTTCATCAATTATTCATAATCATCAACTATTCATAATCATCAATTATTCAAAATTGCTTCATTCTTTTAGAAGAAGAAAATGAAGTGCCTTATTTACAGGCATTGCAAATCCTAATGCTTAGAACAAGATATAAAAGTTTGGGAGATCTACCAAGTGTGTCATATAGAGGAACGCAGTAAATCCCATGAGCATTGCAGGCCTGCAGAAGCCAATGATGATGAACAAATCATGCAAGAAACCAAAGTCTAGGGAGACAGAAATCTCAGATGGGATTAATCTAGAACAAGAAAATTTAAGCTTTCAGTAACTTCATCTTTCAGATAAACAGTTAAACCTCACAAAACATGGGCATATTTTAATAATGGAAGTTTTCATGGAAGAACAGCAATACCTCCATACTTATAATCCACTCTGGACAGTTGATACCATAGATGCCACATCTGCCTCCCTGAAAATCAACAATACAAATTCCATTATAACAGATAAACACGTTACACAAAGATGATAGTGGAAACCAAGAAACTTCCCATTTTAACCTAGACAACTACGGGATGTATGGGTATGGCACCAAAACACATTTGGGGGCACCGTTGGGTCGATTATTTAGGTGGCGGCCCTTGGTGGCTTTGGGCTCCTTTGGATGCCACTTTAGATCCCATTTAGGTGTGGACAAAAAGATGGTAGTCAAAACCAAGAAACTTCCCATTTTAACCTAGACAACTAAGTAATGTATATGTAGGGCACCAAAAAAACATTTTGGGGCACTGTTGGGGCGGTTATTTAGGTGGGGGCCAGTTGTGGCTTTGGGCTCCTTTGGATACCACTTTAGATCCCATTTAGGTGTGGGCCCATTCATAAAACGCGGCCCTTTTGTGAGTTAGATGGTAACATGTCAGTTTTCATCCAACTTGCAAAACACACAAATCATAGGAATGCTAAACACATGTGAAGATGAAAAAAGAAAAAAATAATGTGAATGAAATCATAACTAACTCAACATGAAGAATAAACCCAAAAAAAGTAGCCATATGCAAAGGAAGAGCGGTAAAAAGAGCAAAACACCAAAAATACTAATTTCAATCTAGATGACGAGGATTATAGTGGAAATCTTGAGAAGCACCATACGTAAGCGTGCACAAAGTACATCAGGTGAACCAGGCATCAAACACAAAGAAATGTGACGAGACCTTTAATTTCTTGTGAATCATCCATATGCCACATTTTTCTCTGGATGGCATGGAACTTGGGGAAATCACATAAAATTATCAAAAATAAAAGGAAAAACCACAATACAAGTACATGATTTGCATTCCAATTATTTTCCTTTTATTTTCCAATAGAATCATTAATAAACCCATGGACATGAATATACAAGAGAAAATATAGGCTTCAAAGAAATGTGGTATGTGTTAGTGCTACTATTTTCCTCATAAAAGAAAATAACTTCGATAGTATTTGTACAGAATATGTATCATGCTCATCTAGACTCTATGCATCATGCTCAAAAGAAGAAAGTACAACTTACCTGTTCAATACTACAGCTTCTAATGGAATTCCCAAGTTTCATCACTATGTCATATACTTCTTTATAAGTCATCCACACATATTCACCAGCCTGTAATATAAAAACAAAACAAAAAAAAAAGGAGTGAATATTTCAGTGCAGCTACCAAGGCCTAAACACATTACGACAAGGACCTAATGAAAGAGAGATTGCACCTTTCCATCCTTTATTTTACGCCGACCAAGCATTGGATTGTTAGGGTTCTTCTCAACTGATAAACTGTCAACAAGGTACAGATATCCCACATGAAACAACTGATATCAAAACACCATCACTGAAATATTGAAAGTAGATAATCCAATCAATAAAACCAAAAATGACAATGATAAGCACGTAAGAGGACATACAAACCACAAATATTGAAGTGACATCACTTCTATTGCAAAAGAAGACTTGATGTCACATTTATTTATTAACTCACCAAATTTAATAGTTTACATAGAGGAAGGCCATTCAGATGGCCATATGCTCCATAATTAAGGTCTCTCAGATACCTTTAGTATCTTTTCCATAAGAAGAATAAAAAAAGAATAAATGAATAACGAAATTGGAAGGTCCAAAGACAGATGTACTAAGAAAAGACCAAAGTATAATATCACTGCTACCCAAATCCTAAAGCAGATATAAATGAAGTTAGAACAATCTTTTGCATGTGTGTAAAGTGTAAACAATCTGTGCTGACATGGGAAAAGATCAGAGATCTACGGTAACATAGTCCATTAACGATTTTACCAGGGGGAGAGAGATAAATCAGCACAACTGAATATCAGTACAATTTCAACTACAAACACGAAAAACAAACATATATAATTTAAACCAAAAATAAATAAAATTTATGGGCTAAAGACACTAATAAATAAATCAATAAAAAAGGAAACCTGAAGTGAAAGCATGAAATGAAACTCAGAAAAGCTTAAAGAACTGACTAATATTGTTAACACAGATAGACTGAGGTTAAAAAGTTTCTCCTTTTCTCAAGGCATGAACTTTGAAAATTCAAGAACAGAAATTTAGACAAAATTCAAAAATCAGAAAAGAGAAGAACAAAGTTTAGGCCTCATACGAAAGAACTTTGAAAGAGCCATGTATGTAGACAATGAAAAACTCTTATATCAACTTGAGACAATTGAGACATTAAGCAAAACTACCCCCAACCTCACGAAATTAATAAGGGGAGAGAGAGAGAGATAGAGAGAGAGAGAGAGAGAGAGAGAGAAGAAGAGAGAAGAAAAGAAAAGAGACACACACCCAGTAGAGTAGTACGTACGAACTAACTACTAGTAGTTAATTTAACTAACTAATAAAAGTAAAAAAAAAAACGTTAAA